CCCATGGTGTGGAATGTCCCTTTGGCCAGTTTGGGGCAGGTGTCCTGGCCGTGCCCCCTCCCAGCTTCTTGTGCACCTCCAGCCTGCTCAGTCGGTAGGGCATGGGGAGCTGAGAAGCCCTTGACTAGTGTAAGCACTGCTCAGCAACAACTAAAACATCCGTGTGTTATCAACATTGTTCTCATCCTAAATCCAAAACACAGCACCGTACCAGCTACTAGGGAGGAAATTAACTCTATCCCAGCTGAAACCAGGACAACTTGGTGTCAGAAATGCCTTACCAGATAAGAAAGGTAGAGACATGCAACAGCCTGTGCATGGTCATGTCCCGAGAGGAAGAGGAAGGTAACCTTGATCTCTGCTGTACACCTGCAGGAAGAGATCTCACATGCAGGCTCCCATCTCTGCTCTGTCTGGGCCCTAAATCTCATTTATTCAGGCAAAACTCCCACTGTTTGCAGCGAGGAGTTTTGCCAGAGTAAATACAGCGGATCTGGGCCTTTGCCCCATTTCGTTTCGCTGTAGGCGGATTGATTGCTCCGTGGGGAAACCCGTGCTCCAGCCACGCATCCCTCCCTTCTCCGTGTTGCCCAATGCACAGACGCAGGCCTCTGAACTCCTTCAGGGTTTAGGATGGTTGGGCGGGATCCTATGTCTTTCCCTTTCCGTCCTGTAACCACATGGGAGCAGCTCAGGAGGACACATCCGGTGGTCGCGCTTTGCTTCTGGTTGTGCCGCTGCTTTTGCGTAGTTCACCTCTGCCCCGAGAGCTGGGATGCTGATACGCAGCTTTATGGAGGGTTTTGAGGGCTCCCGTAGCTGCGGTGCAGTTGGGAAGCGCTACCCAGCCCTCTCCTTCCTGCTGCTTGCTTTTATCCTGGCTGGAAGTGCTATAAATCCTCATGGTTTAGGGCGTAAAGCAAATTCTGACCCATTTAAGATGGGAGCAATCCCTCCCAGGGTGTTGGACCAGTGTTTGCTCTGTGTTGCCCATAATTTGGGGTGTAACCTGGAATGATTAGGAAATGTGCACTATGCCAGCTCTGGATTGCTGGGTTTTTTTTGCTGTGAACGAAGGGCTCAATGCGGTGTGTGGTGGGTTTAGATGGATAGATAGCACTTGGCAATTTAAACAGCCTTTCCCTGTTCCCTTGAGTTATTTCTGCTGTCACAGGGTGTTCCTCTTTTTAATTAGGATTTTTTAAATATAGCTACTGTAGAGTATTTTACAGTGTGTGAAAAAACTGTAACAGAATAATATAATGATGTTAGATACTATGATTTGCCATTAAATATTACACAGACATCGCTCTGGGTTGTTTTTCCTTTAAATACCAAACCATTATAGTTGTCCCATTATCTCGTGTTTATTTTTCTGTGTCCTGTACATTTGGAGTAAAATAACACAGATTTTATTTTCCAAGTGTGTCCAAGGGAATTGTGCCAAATACACATTTTTATTGCTCGGCTGCAAAAGGAGCGGAAGAATCCTAAAATCCAATAACAATATTGTGGGTCCTGGGCAATTCAAAACAATGAATTGTCTCAGATCTCTCTTCTACCTCTGTCCTCAGCTTAGAAATAACAAAGATAAACAGATTAGGTGCTTTTTCCTTAGTGTTTTCAGCTTTTAGAGTATAAATTTCCAAGGTTTTCTATGTGACGAGGAGGTCTAGAGCTTCCCACGCATGCTGGCACTCACACCGGCACTTTTTTTAAATGAAGGCTGAGTTTCTTAATACCAAACATCGGCTGGAGCTAGGAGAAAACCATTATTGGGCGAGTCTTAGTTCGTGCGAGGTGGCAATGCTTCAGCTGGGCGCTTTGGCGGAAGCCAAGTGGATGTCTGCTACTGACTTTAATAGGAGAGGAATCAGGACTGTTTGTTATAACCATTTCTTAAAAGGGAAACTTACAGCTTATTGAAAAAGCAGATATGAAAAGCACAGACTTGCTCTGTTCTTGCCAAGAACCGTACAGATTATGTCACTGCATTTATTTAAATCTGGTTTCCATTATGTAGTTTTTCTGCTTTCCCCCCCCGCACCCCATCTGGTTCTCCAACACTCAGACAGGGCTGGGCTGCAAACCCTGCAGGACAAAGCTCAAAGCCATGTAAAAAGTTATAATTTAGGGTAAAAAAAGATATAATTTAGGGTAATATATGCTCTTTATATATAGTTGTCTGTTATTGATATACAGTTGTCAGTTATTGATATGAGGAGCCCCTCAAAACATTTTATTAGTTTTGCAGGGCTTCTATTTTTAAAGAAATTATGCAATCGTTAATTTTTTAAGAGTTCCTCCTGCTTGCGCACCTGGAGGCAGGAGATTATACCCTTACGGTAGTTCTCAAACACCACAGGTATTTTCCTGTTCCCAGATTCCCTCCAGACAGACAGACAGACAGACAGGGTCCTGACTTGTTTATAGGGTGACTGGTTAGTCCCTTCAGTTTAACACTCTCCAATATAAAGGGGTAATTTTAGGGTGATTGATTCCCGCATGGAGAGGAACAAATATCGGGCTCAAAAATCCATTTGCAAGTGTGTGAGACATGAAACGTGCATCAAACGTGAAACAAAAAAATGTTGGAAACGGAGCAGGCATCTTCGCTGTTTAAGGGGCTAAGCTTCGTTTTATGTGCAGCACCATCACATACGTGGGATGATTTTTATTCTGCTCTACAAACATCTGAATTCTGCCCATACCATCAACTGAATGTCCGATTTTGTCTCCATTTCACTTAATTCTGGGCTTTTCCCTGGAAGATTCTGCCAAACAGCGTTAAAATCACTTGTGGTTGCACGGGATGTGCAAACAGCCCCTTCTTGCATGCAAAACTGGACAGCCTCCTAGGGAAAATGTTTTATCCGCTAGTGAGCCGGCCAGGAAATGTCTTCAAGATAAAAAATGAGGTGCAAACCGCAGCAAAATACAGCATTTTAAAACAAAATGTCAATGCGAACACCAACGGGGTGCTCTGTGAACTCCCACCTGCGAAGCGCCGCTATACCGGAGCGCCCTGAAATGCGGCGATAGCCTCTAATTGCAAACCCAGGTTATTTACACATCCTGCTGTATAGCTGGCTTACTGTACCCGAAATGTGGAGATAGCCTCTAATTGCAAGCCCAGCTTATCTACACATCCAGCTGTGTATTACACGTCTTGCTATATATCATGCTTGCTGTCACAAGAATCCGTCTAATGAGAAAGTGTACCGGTTTAGGCTGGGTTAGTAGTTGGCGCAGCACCTGAAGGAGCATAGAGCATGCGCCACCACCTAAAGTGAAAAGTTCATACGGAGGAAGACTTCGGGCCTTCCTCCAAGAGACCCCAGCCCGCGACCACCAGATAGCAGTGCGCAGGCGTCAGGAGGAGGAGAAATATGGTAACGGCTTATTTTAATAACCCCACCCCACTCCTTGGTAACATGATGAATATGGATCACGTCTCTAT